TAAAGGGTGTGGCTTACCGGGGGAGTTGCAGAGGAAATAAAAGAAAGGACCCAAATGGACAAGACGGACGGACGAACGGACAGACAGACAGACAGAGAAACGGACAGTAGAAGTTGGGACCTGGCCATGCACTTTGCATTACCAATTAGAAGAACCCGACGACGAGCGGACCGACGGCACAGAAGGTAACAAAAATTGACAATTGACGCCGCAATCAGGCAGGCAAACACACATGGGCGTCGAGTCGTGGGCGGGGTGGTGTCTCTCTCTCTATCTCTCTCTCATTGTTATGCAATTGCAATGGGGCAAGTCAATTAAAAACATTCCATTCAGGGCGGCAGGCACAACCCTCAGGTTCGTCTGGCCACCGATGACCGTTTGGATTACGGCCAAAGGCGGATATCAATGACCCAACCTCACCACTTCCCTTATTTCCCTATGTGACCCATGTGACCATGTGCATCTCACCCATTCTTCCTGATAACCCTCCTCCTCCTTGTCCTCTTCCACTTACTTTTCCTACGTTTCTCATTCGAGCAAGACATAATCCAATTAGCAATTAGTTGTGTATGGACGGGGCGTCATCGGGTTACCTGAGCACCTCCCAGATGGTTCGATTCCGATAGGATGGTGTGTGTATAAAGAAAACAGGTAGTAGAACACCAGCCTTTAGGCCCTAAGGAATGTGTCCCCCAAATCGAAGGCCTGCCCTGCCAATTGGTTATAACTCAATTTTTGGGCTGGTTATTAGGCCTGGCACGTCTCGGGACGTCGTTTCCTGTTTCTGAGCCTTGAGATCTCGATCTCTTGGCAACTTTTTAACAATTCAGGAGCGCTCAGGTGATGGTGGCATTGGCAAATAATGAAGAGAAAAACACTTCTAGAATATATTAATAGATTCAAATAAATATAAAAATTTTAGTTTTAGAAGTGAAATAGAAAGAAAAACTAATTCAAGTTTTTGGAAAATCTTTTGATTTTTGGTAAAATGAAAACCTTCAACTTATAGTCAAATGTAATTAACTTTCGTGAGGCCCCCAGATTGGGCGCAATGCGGGTGGTGTGGACCTGGGCCCCCAATCATTTTTTTTATGCTTCGCTTGAATTTTAATTTAAAATTCATTCATCATACTTGAAGATGGAAAAATGCAAGAGGAGGGCGGAGGACGGAGGGCTGGTCGATGGCTTAACAACAATCCTTCATTTGTATTTTCTGTGCATTCTTTGTTTGCCGGGCTTTGCCGGTCTGTCGTTTTTGTTTTATATACATTATGTATATATAGGAATGTATCTTATCTTGCTCTGAGACTCATTGTTTAAGCTTCATTGGGATTATGCGGGCTTAACCCCTCTCTTTTTCTTCGTTTTTTTTTTTTGTTGCTTTTTGTTTTTGGTTTAACTCTCTCTTACCCACACTCACTCACTCACAGCATTCCATAACAAGTAAAAGCAACTGAAAGTCTTGCCATATTTTTCACACTAATTCAATTCTCTCGTTTTTCCCTTTTAATTTGATGTTTTCCTTTTTTATCTCAGCTTATTATTTTCACATATCATTTTTTGTGATAATTAAGCTTGCTTTTTGGAATATTTTATGAGAGATGTAAAAATGGTTAACAGAAGAAGTCACAAGAACACACTTTTCTTCTGGTTTTCGCGTGGGTTTTCCAGCTCATTTGCAGTTAATTTAAATGGTTTGGACTCGGGCTTTTCCGCAACAATGCCTGCTAATTATGGTGAAGTTTTTCTTTTTTTTCTTTTTTGGGTTCACGGCTGCATTGAAAAATCAAGCACCCATTAAGATCTCTGCAGAGAGATATATATATATAGAAGAGAGATATAGCCCAGGCACAGCTCATTATCATTTCTGCAATCCACTTGAATCCTTTTGTTTTTCTGTCCCATCCGAAATGTTTTGTTTTATTAATTAAAGCGAAATGCAAGGCTTTCCGGGCATTACTGGATTAAAATTAAAACAAGGGAAAAATCATGAAAAAAAAGAAAACGAGAGCTAGAAAGAGGCAGCAGCAGTGTGTGTAAGTGAGAGGCGCATAAACAAGAAACGGCAACAATTCTTTTCTACGCACGGCCAGACTTTGCAACATAATTGGAATTTCCTTTTTCCTGCCCATTCCCCACATTACCCCTCTCTCTCTCTTTCCGCTGGCTATATTCGCTCTCTTCCATCTTTGTCTTGTCAAGTGGCACAAAAGACAAGAAAAGAAAGAACTCAAGAGTTGCCCGCTTGACCATAAGCTGTCCCATTCAGGCAACAACTTGAGCAGCAGCAACCTGATGTTTCTCCCCCTACTCTTTCTCCTTGATAGAAAGGTGGATACTAACCGGGAGGGTGGAGGGTGAAGTGGACAAATGGAACGATGATGCTGCTGGGCGTGAGAGACTAAGACTGACTAAGAAGTCAAAAAGATATGAGTCAGAGAATTCTGAGAATGTCCTCAGTTCGAGGAAGAGAGGTATAAAGTCGAGTTCATGGGCTTGGGTTATAAACTCAAGACCCTCCTCTCTGAATTCTCAGTCTCAGCTTCCACTTCTTTGTGTTCCACCACAGTGATTTAAGAAAGTAAATGAACATGTGCTTGAAGATTTCCTTAAATTTTTATTAATATTTCTTTAAGAATCTTGAGAGATTGTATAAAATTCAAGTTTATGAAATCGAAAAACAGGTCCATGAAACACCCCACAAGGCTATATTTTATCACCTGCTAACCTGTTAAGTTTAGCAATTTGGCATTCGCATTCCATAGGAAATACTAATCGTGACTCTTCTAATATAAATCTTGCTTTGCCAAACGGGTTTAAAGATATATATTCACCATTAAAAAACATCTCAACTTTGGTTTACCCTAAAAGTCCAGCTTTATTTTCCTTTCTTTGAGAGTGGTCCGCCCAGTGGAAAAATCTGGAGTGCCTCAGCTCTCAAGATTCTGCTGGTCCCCGCTGTGGACCTCTCAGATTTTCCATTTTCCATTCATCTAGGGAGCCCTCATCGTCCATTAATGGCTTGACGAACTACTCGGACTATGTCTAACTGACAGTTTTCCCAGGCGCGATGGCCGAAGTGAAAGCGGCACCCAATTAAGCCAGTTTCGGGCTTAGCTAATTAGGACTGTCCACCCTTTTTTTTTTTTGTTTTATTTTTGGTTGTATTTTTGTACTTTAGCTGCCCCTTCCCCTCCCCACCGCTTTTCTCAAGACATTTTCTCCTGTGCTTTTCTTCAAAGTGTTTTTCTCACACAAAAAACAAAAAATAAAACAAGACGAAGAATATATAGAACAAGCTGCCGTTTAGAGCGCGGCAAACAAAAAAAGAAAAGCGCGCCAGTCAACAACATAAAAAGTTTTAAGTTTACTACTCGAAAATTAGAGCACAAACTGACCACAACAAAGGCGGTACGAGGAAGAAAGGGGCTGCTTTTCTCACTTTCTTTCTTACTCAGGGAAAATACTTATTTCCAACTAACCGAAATATGATCAGTTAATCCGATGAGTCATCTAGCAATGACTTAACCAATTTGTATTTTGATTTCCTTTCTAAATAGTGGAAGAAGAAAATTTAAGAGATTTTTCTGACGGGAAGAAAAGAAGAAATTACGTTAATTAAATTCGACTTTCTGCGGTTTTAGAACCTTGCCTTTGGGATCGTCTGACCAGCGCTTTTGTGGTCCAAAACCGGATGCGGTAATTGCTGGGAGAGAAGTCGTCTTTGGTCTCTTCTCGACTTAACAGTTAAGCCAAGAAGTCTTCTGCCAGCCTATAAACTTCCTGAATTATGTATCCAGCAAGAAGATATATCTTGCAATTTGTTGCTAATCTGGTTTTATGGGCCAAAAGCTAGTTTCAGTAAGCGGTTCTTTGTTCTTAATTTCTAGCCTATTATTTAGCCATTAATTAAGAATCATTTTTTGTTTAGATTTTTGGCATAATCAAGTGATTATTTCTAAGAAACTTAATATCAAGATAGTTGATTATAGATTGGAATCTTTTTTTGTGGATATTAGCTAGCCAGAAAAGTTCTAGAAATATTCTCAGATAGCTACCAAATCTCTTACTTAACAAGCCTAGTCTTGCGCAATATTTTCAAGTTGTCTAGGCAAAATGTTTGCTCAAATTTTATTACCTCAAAGTCAGGTGCCGGAATCTTAGATATATATACATATATATACCTTAGTAAGTCTATCATGTATACTGAAAAATTTACGATATTTGAGCAGAGCTACGGTATATAGTCTGTTTTGAGGTAAAACAAATATTGACTCTAGAGTTTCGGGAGATTGCGGCGATAAGGAAAAAAAGATGATTTTAGTTTTTCCTAAGATGTTGTTTTATTTCCTTTCTGAGGTCTCTATTTACCTAGTGTTTCAGGGTCGCCCATGGTCGTCATCAGGTAACCAAGTGCAAGTGCTCAGGTAAAGTAATTTGTCTGCCCAGTTTTTGTGGTGGGATCAGAAGAAAGAAAGAAAGAAGAAACCTGAGAAAAATATGATATGACCCTGTCTGACTGATAAGCGGATTTCAGCTAAGTTGGAAGATCTCATTGGAGTCATAATCGTGATAGGACTGATATAGTACTTAGGTTACAACAGTACCAGACGAGTAAAGCTAATGATTTGTCAATTTTCAGAATGATAATTAAGAGCCAAGTGGAAAATTAGGGCATCATAAAGGTTATATGAATGGAAATGTAGGGTTTTTTAGGCCTCTTTATCAGTTTAGATCTTGCTAATTTTGCATTTAAGACAATTTTAGAACATCTCTTAACCACTTCCTTTCAGTTTTCCTCAAAGAAGTACACAAAGACTTTGTGTGATAAACAAAATTTCAAAGTTTCTCAGACATATGCCCCATCGAAAAGCCATAAATTTGCAACTTTCAATGCAATTTGTGCCTTGGCTTCCCATTTCTAATTATAATGCCAAAAAAAGAAAAGCATTTCTTCGACTAAAGAGGAGCCTTCTTCTAGTTTTCTTCCCGTTACTCACCTATTAAAGAGCAGCTGCAGAGGAGCAGCGCCAAAAAGACGCCGACTGTATTCAGCGGCAGCGATTTTCGCAGTTCACCCATTTTTTATCGCTGTTTTTTCTTGTTGTTGTTTTTTTTTTTGGATTTGGTTTTTGCAGTATTAGTAGTAGTTTCCCCTGCTTGCAAATTGATTGCTCTTTCTCGCTATCCCTCTCTTTTTAACTTCTTTGGTTTGTTTACGGTTGCACACGAAAAAAAATGTTTAAAAAATTTGCAGTTTATATTTTTTGTTTTTTTGATTAACACTTCTTTGTCTTTTGGAGTTTTTCTTGCTGTTTTAGGTGCGTGAATCTGGAAAAGAAATATGGTAGAAAAGTGAATTAGTTAGGTTTAGATTTGTATTAACTTTAATTTGTGTTTAGATGTTAAAGTTAAAGAGTGACCTAAGAGAGTTGCTCATCTTTCAAAGCTTCTTCGAGCTTCTTCAAGATAATGTTTCTAAGATAATGTTTAATACGCTTTTTTATTAGTGAAAATGTCTGGCTTTTGATTATTATTTCTTCCCAAGTTTTTTTTTTATTAACTTTCCAAATAACTTTGGCATTTTTGTTTATTGCCGCTTAAAGCCATCTTGGCCACTTCTCGCTGTAGAAGTTCATCTGGATTTGATATTTGTCATAACTTTAGCATTTCTGATTCAAATGGCAAATGTTGGCATTTATGGGCGCGAAGAAGAGGCAGATGCCGAATGCTTTTTACCAGTGCGACTGCTACAGCAATAGTGTGTGGCAGGCGGCGGCGGCATGACTCTTTTGCATTCTAAAGTTGGCGGCGGCACCCAAGTTAAAAAACAGGAAAAAAAAATAATACATAAGAGAGAAAAAAACCTGCTGCGCCGCTGACTTCGCACATGTTGGCCAGTTTTTTGTAACGGAAATTGCGGGCCTTTTGAGCAGTCGAAACACGTAGAGCGGGAAATATTACAGGGGGTGCTGCGCGCACTACGGATGGGGGGGTTTTCATTTTTAAATACAAAGAGGTCCTCTCTGAATTCTTAAATACAATTCTTCTACCTAGTAAAAATGTTCAAACCAAAAAAATGTATATTCTCCCGCAGATTGTTATCTTTTGGGCTAAAGAGTGGAATATATATTTTTCTTATCGCTACCAACTTATTTGCTTTCGACTCTCTGATTAATCGTGACTCAAGCTATCTCTCTTTGTGTTTCATGCTCCCTCTCTCTCTCTCTCTGTCTCTGTCAGACACTAAACGTGCACCTATGCTTTATGTCCTTGGATTGCAACAAGTTCTAAAGTACAGTTGGCACTGGTTAAAGGGGAAACTTTAGGTTTTTTTGGGATAAGCATTTTTAAAGGTCTTTTTTGTGATGTTGACTAAGACATTCTATATCTTAAGGTTTCTTAAATGTAACTATAATATATTTTTTATTAATATTTCTTTTTAACGTAATGATGAAATAAGTATTTCTTTTCTAACCTTATCACTGGCAGAACGTGACTCTTAAATCATGACTAATACCTAAGGTAAAGAAGCATTTTGATAAAAATAATCATGTAACTTCCAGCGGATTTTAAGTTAACAAAAGTGGAAGTAGCTTTTCTAAACTATAAAGAAGTTATGTTCCTGACATTAGCCTTTCTAGATCATTAGCTTTAGCAACAATTTCATTATCAAAAAATCCAAAACAAAACCCTCAAATCTGTAGCTGCTTCTTCGCCAACAACATGTCTTGCCACTAATCCCGCCCACTTTCCTTTAGCGGGACTTCTCCCAGCGCCCACCCAGCCCCCTCATTTGGCTTACGGTTATTACAGTTACTGGGGTAATCGATATTTAAGGCAGGCCTTGACTTTTTTTCTATAGAAAAACCATGTGTCTGCGGCACGCGAAATATTCTTGAGAATTTTTTTTTGGTGTTTAGAACAGGCCAACAGCCAGCTTGCTTTTGGCAAATTGAGACATCCCAAAACAGAGTACTACGAAAGCAGGTCTTAAAATATTCATAAAGTTTCAAAAACGCTAATTATAATGGGAAACTCTTGTGCTAAAAGCAGGGGGGGCTAAAAGGGGTGACGGGGGAGCCAAATAGCGGGAGAATTTTTGGGAATCTGTTCAAGTTGCATAAAAGTTTCAAAGTTTTCCACTTGAAATTCGTGAATTATTAATGCTGATGTCAAATGATTTGATTTTGACTTTCGACGTGGGGGCCCAACAATTTTTAATTACATTTTCAAGAGTTTTCCTCCCATTTGCAGTTGATTTGTTGAGATTGGTTTTGGGAATGAGAAAGTTCGAAGAATTTTGATTTTAATTTCAAATATTTAAAACTGCTAAATTGTTTGATTTTGAATCGAATTAGTTCTAATTTAAGAGAGCTTCCTTGTTCTTACGTAATACGTTACGTTACGGAAAATTGAATTAAGCCATTAACTTTACAGCCGACGACTTGTCACATTTTGAAAACTTTACTTTGGAAAACTGCCAGAATTAAGGCTTAAAAACTTTTTTTAAGTCAAAGAAATGCAGTTGGCAACTTTTTACTGGCTTGTTTAACACAGTTTAAACAAATATTTTTAATCATGTTATAACTTTTGTGAGAAGCCGCCGCCGCAGCCAACAAAGTTAACTTTAGCTTAAAGGAGATTTTGGCCTAGACAAAAAGGTAACATGAAATTGACTGTAAAATTCGAGGATCCCTTTTCTACTTTCTGTTTTTCATTTAGTTATGTTTTTCATTTTAATATTTTCCAGCTGCATAGTGTGAGTCAATTTCCAGTGCCCACTGTTGGTTGGCAGCAGCAACAACCACAAAGCTGGCAGCGAAGCGGGCCCAAAACCAGTTTTCAGTTTTATTTTTCTTGTTTTCAGGTGTTTGTTGTTTTTTGTTCTTTTTTTTCCATAAACGTTATATGCACTTTTCCAACTCGATTTTTGTATGGAGTTTTCAAAGGGTTTTTCATGGAGTTTTTTATATTTCTTTTTTTTTTGGTTTATTGAAAATAAACTAACTTTTGCACGTGACTCATTGGAATCTTAAACAAAAAAAAAACATTAACAGCAACAACAGAGAGTGCGTGTGAACGAGAGAGTGATACTTTTTTTGTCACACGCTAAAAAAAAAATTTAGAAAAAAAAAACCATCCAAGAATGCCGCCAGTTTATTTTTGGTTTTTAGGGAGCGCTGTCTCGGAGAGATGCTTTTAGTTATAGTTTGGCCAAGTTATGTGTTTTTGTTATAAATATTTATTTATTATTACCAATTTCTCATTGTTTAACTGGCACACTAACACACACGCACACGACGCGCCATAACCGCTAACACAGACAACACACAAACAGTGAAGAGAGCCGCGAGAGAACGATAAGCTAGTAGCCAGCTATTATTTGTTGTTCGCTATCGCCAGTTTTGTGTTTCTCTTTCGTGAGCAAAGAAGAGCACTCGACGCGTTGGCCGTCGAAACGTAACTGAAAGCGTCGCCATCGGAACGCCAGCCAAATACCACAAATTGAGTTTGTTGCGCACGCTGATGTGGCAACGCCGAGTGTTGCCAGCGGCAGATGGGGATATGTTGCGGAGTGGGCGAGCGAGAGAAGTAGAGATACGAGGCATATATGGAGGCACAGTTTGTTTTCAAAAGATCTTAACATCTACTTATTCATTATTAAGTGAGTATAACATAAAGTTGAAATCATAAACTTTTTCTTCATATTTATATTATTTATAAATATAATTCCCAAACTATAATTCCAGTGGAGAGACCTTGCAGCTACCGTTAGACGGCGAAGAACTCAACTTTTTTTTTCTTCTCGTATGTCAAGCAAGGTCAAATGGCGATGGGGCGGAGAGTAACTGGGCGGCGGCACTTAAGCCCCATTTCGTCACTTTTACGAGCGACTGGTGTTAAGTTTTTGACACATTTTTTGTTGCCCAACCTTTCGTAGGGGGTTTGTCAAGAAGCCTCTAGAACAGGCCATTAAAAATGTAACTACCTTATTCGGGGGCACAAAATGCTATTTCAACGAACTTTAACGTATATTACGAAAATGTTTATTATCAAGAAGAGGTTTAGCTGTGGCTTATAGGAAAAAGAATTTAAGAAATACCCCTCCTCCTCTGTTGTAACTGTAACGAATAGCAACATCCTTCGATGTTAGCAACATGTTGCCCGGGCCCTCTTGCAACATTTAGCCTCGGGAAGAAACCGGAGTTTAATGTCTTATTTTTCGGAATTTCATTTTACGATCTTGCTTGCCTCTGCTTGGGAAAACTTGGAGATGGGGGAAAACGACGACGACGACGAACGACTTTTCCGGCTGGCAACATTTCGATGATTGCCACTTGTTGCCCGCGCAACATCGACTGAGTTTCGATTCGAACTTCGTTTTTTTTTTTTTTTAATTACAGCGCGCTGTCAAATTAACCTCCCACCGCCCACTAACCACCAAGGAAACGGGAGAAGGAAGGGGGTGTTGTGCGATTTTCCCGGTTAAGTGGAAACAAAAAGAATAAAACAAAAACCAAAAAAAAAAAAAAAATCCCAGTTACGTTTGAATGCGTTCCGTGCAATTTACTAAATGAAATTGCGTATCTGACAGATGCATAGATGCCAATGCGATGTATTCTGCAGTTATCATTGTTGTTTTGTTTATGTGTGTCGTGTGTGTGTGTGTGTGACGGAGCAATTTATCACCCTATACAGAGGGATATATATATATATATTTATATAGATATATAGCAGCTATACAGCACCCTCCCTCCTTCCCTTACCCGAATCGCCAATAAGTGATTTATAGGATTGTTATTTTGTCGTTGATGTCGCACTTTCGCTGCGCTTTATTTATTGCCCTGCACCTCCACATCTCATCCCCACTGCTTTCCCACCCACCACTGCACAGCAAACCCGATTCGACCGTTTCGTCCGATTTGTTGTGTGTTAATTTTACTTCCATTTTTCCGCCGCACGGCCACATGAATTTTCCGAATTTTTCACAGATGAATATTGAATTGATCGGCTGGGACTACTGAACTGACTGTGGGAAATGTGGTGACAATCGTTCTTCATGCTTAATTTGCTAATGTGCGAGACCTTTGACCTGCAAGCTGGTCATGTGAAATTTGTTCCCATTTAAAGATTGAATAAGGGAAGCATAAATAGGATCATAGATAATATTTTATCTTAATCCCAACTCAAATGGTAACATTTGATAACGTAAATTTTGATTTTTTAAAACTCTCTTTCTTATTAAAAGAACAAATTTATGTTTATAATTAACACATCAAACCCAAACTAATCGTGTTTAACAACAATAAACTGCAGCTAAGAGCTAAGTTTCCTTTGTCAGAGTAAGAAAAAAAAAAAGAAACGACTTCCCCCCTTTGAAAGACTGCAATTATTTAACAATTATGGGAACAAGTGAGCAACAATGGCTTTAGCTCGAGAGTTGATCGAACCCACTTGAAATGGTTTCGCCTGACCTGTGACCCTGATATCCGATCATCTGCTACCTGATTTGATGAAGACATCGACGTAGAAGGAGAACGCAGCCCGGTGGGATGTTAGATTTCAGATGGGTGGTCTTCGAATTAATCTCCAGCGATCATCTCGGCAATTCTGTTCCAATTTGTAAGCCCATATCGAGTTCGTTTTCTCGTTATGCCCGTTTCTATAGCTGGAAAATCTATGATGAACACCTGAATTTTTGGTGGTGCATCAAGAACATGGTTCTCAAATGACGGCTGTAACCGCACAGCCCGAAATCATTAGAAAAAAAATGGTTAATAACTCTATAAGCAATTAGATCCGAAGAGTTCCCTCCATTCTGTGTTTAATTTCTGACAGGTTTTGTCCGCACCGAAGGCAGAAACTCACTCCCCATCTTGCCGCTGATGCTGCTGCTGCTGCTGCTGCTCTTGGCCAGAAACTTTAGCCGGGCATCATTAGAGTTCACAGAAACGACAGCCATTCAGCGGGCCGAATGATGAATTATGGTCGTCAAATTGAACACACAAAGCACACAGAATCCGAAGAGTTCTGGTTTCGAATACATATATCTTAAGATACTCTGTTGCACTTACAGACAATGTGAATCAAAAGATGCCCAAGGTGCCAACGACGGATGCACAATAATTAATTGATATTTAAGCAGTCTCGCCTTATGAGTTCATTTGCCAGGACTTGGACGGCACAAATCAAAGATGAAGTTGCTCTGAAATGAAGAAAAATAAAGGATATTTAATGGTTTTCAGTTTCAGATTGATTTTTTAAGGATTTTTTTGTGATTATGTTGTAGAATTTGGCAAAGGATCATTAATATTGTTTAAAAATCGATCTTAAGATCAAGTTTTTCTTTTTGGTTTAAGTCTCATTTCGTACTTATTTTCATTCAGAAATTATATTAACTGATATATCATATTTTGATATTTCTTACAAAGGTACAATATATTCCTTTTTATAATGTCACTGCTGTTGTCTTTCCAAGAGTCTATTATCTTTAACCCTAGGTTTTTGGTCACAAATGGGTTAATGAGTATCTATTGCTGACCCATGTCCATGTCCATGGAAACCCCTCAACTTTTTCGAGTGTTTCTGTATAGAACCCTTCTGTTATTATTATACCATTAAATGGCCCCTCTCTATTCGTCCCCCAAAAAATAACCCTTGACCCTGGAAACACACACAGAAAAACAAGTTGATGAGGCCTTTTCTTTGACATTCTGAAAATAGTCTCATTAAACCATCAGGACAATAAATGGACATGAAATATTTTCACAGTTGACCTTTAATGAGCTGAACCCATCTCCCTCCCCCCGCTCCCTTCTATAGAATTCCCAACTTCCGTTCGTATAGCAACCGCAAAAATCCTCGATTCCTTGCGATTTTCAGACTCGGCGACCCTTATTTTTCAGCACCCTAACCCCCACCCAACCAGAATTTCATTTCTATTTTGCTCGGACTTTGGTATTGTTTATTTGTTTGTTTGTTGACCTTTTAGCCCTTGGCGCGTGACTGTGACCATTTGTCCATTTCAGTTGCGCACGCGTGCCCAGATATTTCCGATTGCCTTGACCCAAAACTATACTTCTGGGGTGACATCTTCCATCCGCCCCTTTGTTTTAAAAACATTTTCGACCACCTCCCTTCTGCCTTGCCATTTTCGGTTTTCAATTAAATTGCCAAAAATTATTGCTTGTGGGTGTGTGTGTGTGTGTGTTTATGGGAAATGCCTATGAAAAGAGTAAGAAGGGGTAGGTAGGAGTTCCACCGGGGGGTTAGTTAGTGGACAGCATAAACAAGATCGGGGTCATCCATTGGGTAATGGTAATTGCGACCAGTTCTCATTTCCTGTTGCGTTTCTAACGATTTGATTTAATTTAACGCACTTCGCTTGCGTAGTTAAAAGTTTTTGTTAAAGGAAAATGAAAAAAGAGGATGGGGAAATAGTATTCTGTTGGGTGGCAAAAGGGTGGGTTATAAAGTCGAAAATGAAAAACGACAAAAATCACTTTCTTTTCCCTATTCAGAGGCTTATAACTTGACTAAATGAAGTCAGATTTACAGTTTACAGTTTGGTGATCTAAATTCAAAAACCAATCAAACTGCATCAGAGAAATATTCAAAATTGGGGGAAATTTTTTTTTCAAAATTTTGCATTTTTTGATAGGGGTACCCCTTACAAAATTTTGAATTTTTTGAAAAATTTTTTTTTTTCCAAATTTAAAATATCTGGTAAGCAGCATTTTTCAGTGTCAAAAAACATTTACAAAAATGTATTTCCTTTTCCAAGAAACCCATTTTTGAGAATTTTACAGCAATTTTTCCAGGAAAAAAGTAACAAAAATTGATCATTTTTTAAGATTGAATTTTATGCATTGAAAAATACAAAAATATTTATTATTGTAGTGTTTTTAAGAAATAAAATAAATATTAAATATAAGTAAATAAAAATTCAATCAAATTCCATATTAAGATTCATGAATTTGGACAAACAATCACCTCTGTGATTGCCCTCGCCCTCCTAATCTTCATGGAAATGGCTTCTACAATCACCTGGCGTCAGTCAATCTGAGCCAAAAATGACGCCCGCCTAATCCACCGAAATTGTGCATTCAAAACAGGCTAGGCTAAAAGCCAGGAGCACCGAATTCGAAACCCCGAAAATTTTCGTGAACAATGGCAAAAAAAAAAGGGAGGTGTGGCAAGGACAATTAGCGTCGGCCGCAGCTAATTATGATCCCATCGCCGCGGGTGGTGGACAAACCTACATACATATATCTATGTACTGTATAGGTGAGTCTGGAAAGAGCGAGTCTCTCTGAAGTTGGGAAAACTCAAACTCATTTGCGGTTCAATGCACGGGCAGGCAGGAGGGCGGGCGGATGGTTGGTCGACGTGCAGACCCAATTTCACTTTCCCTCGTTGCGTTGACATTTTCCGCATAGATTGTGAAACCCTTAATTAACTTTCGAGGGCAAATAAGGA